CTGTTGTATAATTTCTTTAATATTTCCTGTAGAAATTTTAATACCTGCCTCTCCTACTGGCCTTGAACCTTCAAACACTGGCATGATTACAATAAGAATAGAGGTTTCCAGGATTGGGCCCAAATCTGTCAGTATGACTAAGAGCACCTTATCCTGGACTTCTAGAAGTTAACTGCATGCATCTGTGTTGCTGTTGTGTATTACTCACCTTTTCTTTTATGGGAAATGCTCTTACCAGATGATTAAACATTGATTACCCTATAATGGCAAAAGCTTTGGGTACCTTACCCATAGTGAAGCCACCATTCTTACAGTGGGAAAAACTATGGGACTAGAGGAAGAAATTTGTGAGCCTCTAATGAAAAAAGAATGAAAGAAAATGTAAATCATTACTTCCTTAAATTAACTCCTAGGCACGATTTCCACATAAATAATAGCCACACCCTTAAAATAATTTCTTTGACCAGCTAGCATTCTTAACTTTAATCTAGGATCATAGGACTGGAAGGCACCTCATGCAGTCATCTAGTTCAGTCCCCTGCTCAAGGCAGGATCAGTTCTGGCTAAACTATCCCAGCCACATGTCTGTCCAACCTGCTCTTGAAAATTTCCAAGGATGGAGATTCCACAGTTTCTCTAGGCAACCTGTTCCAGTGTTTCACCACTCTCATAGTCAAAAAGTTCCTTCTACTCTCTAACCTAAATTTCTGCTGCTGCAACTTGAGGCCATTGCTCCTGTCTACTATAGCCACAGAGAAAAACCCATCTTCATCCTCTCTGTAATCCTCCTTCAAGTATGTGAAGAATTATCAAATCCACCCCACACCCAGTCTTCTCTTCTCCAAGTTAAATAACCCTAGTTTTTTCAGTCTTTCCTCATAAATCTTGCCTGCCAGGCCCCTAATCATTTTTGTTGCTCTCTGCTGGATTCTTTCCAATCTGTCCACATCCAAAACTGGACACAGTACTCCAAGTGAGCCCTCACCAGTGCTAAGAAGTGTGGAGGAATCACTTTCCTTTATTTACAAGTGACACTCCTGTTAATATAACCCAGGATTCTGTTGGCTTCTTTTGCAACAAGAGTACAGTTGGCTCATATGCAGCTTATGGTCTACTATAAACCCCAAGTCCTTTTCTGCAGTATTGCAGCCTAGCCAATCATGCCCCAGTCTGTGTTGGTGCATGCTATTATTTTTTCTCATATGCAGGTTTTGCTGGTCACAAGTCCTGCCTTTGAGACAAAATAATTGCATGCACAAACACACAGCAGGCTGCTAATCAGTTAGATTTTCTAGGCCACAGGTGGCCAACCTGCGGCATGCATGCCACAAGTGGCATGGGCAACCTCTGTGCGTGGCAGGTGGCAGATAGGAGAGGCAACAGGCAGCACAGTGGCAGATAGGGCAGAGAGCAGAAAACAACAGATGGGGCAAGGAGCACAGGACAGGACGCTGATCAGGCATGGAACAGAAAGCAGAGAAACCAGTCAAATAAAGGAAGGGGATCAGAGTGGCACGTGGCAAGGGTGTGGGGCTAATTTTTGGCACGCTTGCCAAAAAGATTGGCTCTAACTGGACTAGATTTATTTTGATAGTCTAGATCTATTTTCTTTGTTTGCTTGTTTTTTATTCTATCCTTTGGAAATGAAGTGGCCAAAACTGAATGTACTATGGAAGCACAGTGGTGTTTAGTTGATTTCCATAGCATTGCCACAGCTGTGTAACAGGGAACTCTAGCCCTGTTATGGAAAAAAGAGGGCAAGGTGAGGAAAAGTAGAGGGGCCCTTTTCAGGCTAGAGCTTTTGCCTGCAGAGAAGGAAGCAATGGCAACTCATCTAGAGAGGGAAGAGACTCTAGTAGCTAGGAAAAACACCAGTTGGTGAGTAGAGGGGAGGCAAGTTGTTGGCTGCTGGTAACCTTTTCCTAATATTTTTTATGGTGGTCTTGCAGAGGTAAGTATATAGTTGCCTCCATCAGGTGGAGGCCTCAGAGGTGCCAAAGACCCTGGCTGCTTACCTAAATGCAGCCTCCTAAACATCATACTATAACCTCAAGGCATGCCAGGTAAGAGAGAGGAGCCAGATTAGGGTGCTGAGGTAGGCAGCTAGGTGCTACACAGCCCCCAGGAGGTTACAAGCTGTCACTTACAATTACTACATCTGTCCAGAATAAGAATTCACTTACTTTTACTCTCCCTTCAAGGACAGTGCACAATGATCCTATCCTCTGTTCAGTGCATCTGAGCCTATCTTCTTTTTATTTAATGCAGTTTAATCAAAGGGCAGAACAAACTGGTGTATCCTCTTTATTCTTTTGCCTTCAAACACCACTCTCCTTGAGGGGACAATCTTGTCTGAGAAAACTGGTGTCCTGCAAAAAAACTAAAAAAATAAAAACATAGACAAATCCTATACTTTCCCCACCTGGATTCCTCCCTTCCCTGTCTGGTAAAGGTCTACTCTAAATACTGCTTCACCAGAGCTCTCAGGACTTGGCTGGAGTCTGTTTCCACCTCCTACCCCCCTTTACTGTCTTGGACATCTTGGACTAACTTTCTTTGCAGAGAGAATGCCAGCTGGATGCTGTCCCTTGCACCATTCATTATTCCTTTAGATACTTCCTGTCTTGGGCCAGAGAGGTGAGTTCTTACTCTAGCTACCGTTAACCCACAGTGATGCTAACTCAGCATGCTTTTATCATGAGTCTGGTAGTGCCAAATACAAGCCCCATATCTACAGACACTTAGCTTTCATTTTTAAAAAGTCAAATTTGTGGGCATAGAAAAAAGCCTTTAAAAGGTGGCTTGGAAGCAGTCTAGGAACTTGAAAAAGGCAAAGGCAGATTTTCCTCTGAGCCCTTTTCAATATTCTGTGAAGCTGATCTGTTTCTTTCAGCTTAAAAGTAGATACTTTATTGTTATTATTCTACCAAAATGTTAAATTGCCAAAATGTAAAACCATCCTGTAATGTTAAAGTAGAAGAACATTGGTTATGTGCTTGACAATAGTGTTTTTGGTCATTTCCCTTCTTAATAAAAAAACAGTGTAAATATTTCCTCTGTTACTTTATCAACTGTATCATATTATGAGGCAGAGTTAGGATTTCATCTGAGATTATTTTCAAATGGAATATTCCCCAGACTTATTTTTTTTGGTTTAAATCTTGATATTACAGGCTCTGACATAGGATCCCAAAACCTTGCTTGAGGAGGACTATGTGGCAAACTACTGAATGATCCAAAAAGGCTCATTGAACAACGCTCACTCTGTTTTCCCCAGGTCACTCTTCTTCCCAGGCTTAAGCTGCCGAGGACTGCTCAGTTGTTATATTACTGTGGGTATCTCACTGTCACTAGAGAAGGGAGGGGGACTTGCAGTGCCTGGTCGACCCCTGAGGGATCTGGAATAACACTGCAAGGTAGGGGCAACATCTTTTATTGGACCGACTATGTAGTGTGGATTAAATCAGACAAGCTTTCCAATGTAAAACATTTTCCTCCAGTCTCTGATTATGGGAAGCTAGGCCCAGGAATTGAAGCACAGCATAGGGGAGGGGGCTCAGAGAAATTCTCAGGTGTAGCAAAAGCAAAGAAGCTGAGTGGATCCAACAAAAGAGATCACCCCAAAGCTTCTTTGCCTATGGCATAGTTTCTGGACTATCACGGCTACAACATCACTCTTAGGGCCTTATTACACAGTCATTTTGTGTGGCTCCTGGAGCCCTTAACACCTGGATTGTCTGCACATTAACAACTGAAACTGGTTTTAAGCACTCATTAAGCAACTCAGATTTATGCCACTCCAAGGCAGGATTATCTCTGATCTGCATTACTCAGCTGGCACTCGAGTCTGGGCCGGGCCTATGCTCCTGCTGAGACCAAAACCAGAGGTTCCTGGCTAGAGCGTCTTGCCCCTCTGCTCAGGGTCAGACGGATTGCCATATTTGGCGTCAGGAAGGAATTGCACCCTGTGGTCGGATTGATATGGACTGTGGGTTTTTTTGTCTTCCCCTGTAGCAGGGGCATGGCCCTCTACCCTGTGATATCTTGAGTGAATATTGACAACTTTTTATTGAAGCTGGACATTGGCTGCCCTGGTTCCCCTGTGGACAGAGGTTAGGTTGTTAGGGCTTTTGTGTGTCAGGCTTGATGGTAGTCTTATGCAGAGTTGGGGGAAATTGAGGTTAGATATTAGGAAGAATTTTCTGACTAGGAGGATAGTAAAACACTGGACCAGGTTACCCATTGCTACCACTGACTGTGATGCCACATGGCTCCCCAGTGTAAAAATGCAGGGCTTGATGTGGCATGCCATGCTGAGCACCAGATTCTGGGCCCATGCATCAGTCAGAGCCCTGGCAGTGGCTCTGAGGGTGTCTTGGCCAGCCAACATCCTTTTTCTTTTCTTTTTTTTTTTTCTGTTTTCATTTTGGGGCAGCCAAGACCATTTGGGCCCTACCGCATAAGAAGCCAGCTCCACTGCAGGCTTGCCTAGTACGTGGGGAACTGAGCATGAGGCTGGCCTGTAAAAGAGCCTGACCTGTGGAGACTGGGCACAACTTGCTGAGGTTATTTGACCCCAGCAGCCTTTCCTGCCCAGAGCTGGGGGGCTGGACCCAATGAGGTCCCTTCCAGCCCTAAACCTCTGTGAATCTGTGATGGCAGCTCCATCCGTGGAGGTTTTGAAAACCCGGCTAGACAAAGCTTTGGCTGGGATGATGTAGCTGGGGCTGGCCCTGCTTTGAGCAGGGGGTTGGACTAGATGCCTCCCGAGGTCCCTCCCAGCCCTCCTTTTCTATGATTTGCACGAGATGCTTCAGGTAGGGATGATCCTGCCTCAGGCAGGGGTCGGATTAGATGCCCTGTGGCGGTCCCTTCCAGCCGTGCTGCTCCCTGACTCCGAGCCCAGGGGGGCACAAGCCCGCTAGCAGAGGGAGCTGCGGCGTCTCGGAGCGCAGCTCGTCTCCAGCAGAGGCGGAGCCTGCCGGGCCCGTCGGGGGATGCCTCCCGCGCCCCCGCCCCCTGCCCGCTCGCCGGCCCGGCCGGACCGCACTCCGCGGCGCAGCATGGGGAGCGGCGCGCTCTGCCTTGCCCTGCTGCTCGTTTGCCCCGGCCTCGCCGACACAGGTACGAGGGGAGGGCGAGGGGGTTCCGCCGCTCGGGCTGTGAGGGAAGCAGGCGGGCAGCGGGGCAAGAGGCGTGCGGGAGCCGCCGCCTCCTCCTTCCCCCCCCCGGCTGCCCTTGGACCGCCGCCTCCTGCCCGCCGCCGCCGTCGGGTAGGCGCTGGCCCTGGGCGGGAACTGCCTGTGGAGGAGCGCGGGCTCTGGCTCGCCTCAGCCCCTGCCTGCCTCGGGGACGGGGCAGCAAAGAGGCAGGGGCATCTGCTGGGGCTTTTCGGCAAGAGATTTGAGGACTGCTTTGGATCCCGCTGCGTCCTCCGCCAGCTGTCTGTCTCTTCCTTTCTTTTCCTTTCTTTTCTTTCTCCGGTAATTTGCCAGGGTTTAGCACTCGCTTTACAGTCGTTCTTGAGCCAGCATTTCTTCCTTGTTACCCCTGTTACCACTGACCAGGCTTCCAGAGGGTTCATCGTCACTTTTACTAACTGAACTAGCACATTACAGTGATTTTTGGTTGTCGCCCCCTCCCCCCCCCCCTTTTTAAGAGGTGAACAAAAAAAAATGTTGCTGTGTTTTTCTTGGTTTAGTTTAACACTTCTGGCAGGGGCAGATTGGGTTCAGGGGCACCAGGGGCTGCACAGCCCAGGTGAGCATCCTGGCCACAGACATTTGGGCCAGCATGTGCCTCTTCCCCTCTGGCCAGACCAGCACCAGAGGCTCCTGGCCCCCCGCATGTGTGTGGCAGTGGCTTCCTGCTGCAGTCTGTTGCTAGGAGCCACCAGCACCAGCACCGTTGGGACAGGACAGGAGAGGACAAGACAGCCCCGCCTTGCAGGGACGGGTAGAGGGGCAGGCAAGTAACCAGAGACAGCATGGAGCCTATGCTGCCTCCCCAGGCCATGGCCCTGGCCTGTCCTGCAAGACTGGGGGACTGCAGCCCCTGCTGCGCAACGCCTGCCAGGTAGAGGAGCTGGGCTGTGTCAGGTCAGGGCTGTCTTCAACTCAGCGGTGCTTGTGCCCCCTGGCTTGCCCCGAATGTGCTGAGGAGGCCAGGCGGTCCCAGCCACAGCCCCCTGATGGGCGCAGAGGGAACCTGCTCTCGCTAGGTGGGGGACCTCCAATTTTTTGTTTGCCCAGGGCCCCAATAAACCTTAATCCGCCGCTGTCTTCTGGCTAAAATAATTTTAAAGCAAAGTTAGAAAATGAACTGACGCTCCTCCTTGTTGCTTCTTCACTTCACTGAATAAGTAAGGGCAATGTTTCTAATCAAGAGTTCACCGGTCAAGTCCACCCTCTTGCATAAGCATCTGCTGGTCACTTCCATGGGCTTCACGCTGGCACGTGGAGTCTGTCCATGCTCGAGTTGTCTGATCCAAGGTCAGGGCCTTTATTAAAACAAGACCAGCAGAAGGGAGTGTGGGTGAGGCTGAGTGAAGGCAAGAAGAAAAAGGTTGCGTGGTCATAACCAAGGCTACTTTTGGCTTTTAATTACAAGTTGGTTAGAGATTAGGATGACTGCAAGTGTTCTAGAAAAAGAAGGATCCTATAAATGGGCACAGTTGGACTGGAAATAGATTTTGTGGAGTTCTGTAGCTGTTATAGTAACTATTTGCCTATCTCCTCTTTAAAATATTGTAACTTTACTCCAATGCCGTCAGACTGGACGTATCATGCGTGCTATATCCATTTTTAAGATGGAAATTGAAATTTGGGTTCATTCCCAGTTAATAGGAAGTCAGAGTCTGTGGCTCTGTCTGCTTTTTTTAAAGCAATGAAGCAAGCACCACATCAATGTAAGTCAAGATAGTAAGACTTTAAGACCAATGGGAAACTGGGGTACAGTGATAGTTTAACACTATCTCCTTGGAAATTTATGCCCCAAAATAGCCTTTCAAAATAAGTATTGTCAATTCATTTAAGGGCATATTTGAATGGGACAGAAGCAATAAATAGGTAGCTATAATCCAGGTGTTTGTATGTGAAAAAACTTTGTTGGTGATACTTGCCATCTTTTATGTCCAAGAGCAATGCCTGCTTGAGCCACGATTCTGTCTGTTGTGGTGTATAAAATAAAACAATGACCACATTCATGGGCTAAAGTTTGCCTTCATTATTTTTGTTGGCGTGCCTCAATTAATTTCTTTCCAGTGCAGAGATCCTGGAACACAAATTTAAATTATTTCTTTATAAAATACTGAGGTGTTGGACACATCACGCGCTAAATCAACAGAGACAATAGAAATATCTGTCCTGCTTTTTCTCTGGGGATGGCTGTTCCTGCCAAACTGTCTTTATTTGCTTGGGCAGATGACTGAATGCCTTACTTTGAATTTCATGTTAGTACCAGTTTTTAATTTAATTTGCATGAAGATGCTAATATCCAATGTTTGGCTTTCTTTCTAAGAGACCAAGCATATAATTTCTGCTCTGCTTTACCCACAAGTTAAAAAATCCAAGTATGTGCCCATAATCTTTGAGTTGGCTGCACAAGAGACTGCCTGTTTCAGCTTTTACTGCATTGGAAAATCCAATTTTCCTTTACTTACAGTGGCAAAAACTTGAAAGCACTGAAAATCAGCAGCAAATTAACCAACTGCAGAGTTAATAGATTTTATGTTCCACTATCTTGGTCCTTTAATAGACTAGGTGTGTATTTGCCTCTCAGATCTTTCTTTACAGTTGATATAAACTCTTCTAATTTTAAAATAGTACCAGTTAATGAAAGAAAATGTTTATTTAATTGAGAACAGGGATGGCCAACCTGCAGCATGTATGCTACAAGTAGTGCGAGCAGCTGTTGTGGGTGGCTTGTAAGCCCTGGCACCTCTTTTCTGATGCCCCAGGATGCAAAATCAGGTACAGCTCTAGAAGGCAGGGGTCAGAGTGGCAGTCAGAGAGGGCCAGAGCTTAACTTCTGGCATACTTACCTAAAAGACTGGCAACCACTGATCTAGAATACTGACCTATTGAATATGGTACACCTTTAAGTACAGAAAGATAAGTTTTTGCACAATGAATTTAAAGAAGCAATCTTAATGATCTGTGTGCTGTCTTAAATATAGGAAAGTTTTACTGTACCTGTTTTAACAATATGTTTCCATTGAAGCATTTGATAGCTGATCAGTTCTGCTAGTAAAGGAAACTACCCTGCTTTGGATCCAGACATGAGCATGTTTTATTTCAATAATAATTTATCTGAACATGGAAAATAGTTTCTTTTGGCCACGGCTTTTGGACTGAGATGCTTTAATTTGTCAATTTATTTTCCTTGATGTTTTTCTATGCATTGTATTCTGAACTCTGAAGTTTCCAGTACTGACAGCACCTTGCATCAGACAGTTTAGTTAGGACATAATGAGGGGAAGTCTTTGGACAGTAGCTGGTGGTTCTGATGGTCTAGTAAAAGTCATATGAATCTAGGCTACTTTAACTTTGTGAAAATCCCCCCCTGCCCCTCACCAATGATCTATGCTCCTGTACTTTTCTACCACTTACTTGGTAACTACCTAAATGAGTAAGCTGTCAGGTTCAAACCATTTAAATATCCTGAAACAACAGGGTTGAAACCCAGCAGCATTAATTTAAGCCCTTGACAGACATGCATGTTAAGTGCTCTAATTTCTGGAGCACTTCAGATTTGATGCAGCGCAGACATGCAGCTACCCTGGGGGGACCAGAGCGCTGAGGGATGCCAGAGGAATGCTGTATAGATCTTTCAAGCAGCACTTCAAAAGGAAGTGGTTCAAGGAGAGTCCTCATTTTTTTTGAAGGTTGTTGCTGAAGCTCTTCTCTGGCCATGGAGAGACAGAATTTCAAAGATACTTTCAGTTGCACACAAAGCCCATTCCATCCCGTGGCAGTCCTTCTACTGCAGTCTTAAATACAGGACGCCTTTTTGATGGTATTTGGCCCAATATTTGCAGCCACTCTTTTCCTGGATGTTCCTATCCCTCCCAAACATACTCACACGCGCATACCCCCTTCTGCATACTCTGGTGGCTGCTATTAGGATTTTGTATGGTTCAACACATTTAAAGCATTGACTTATAAATCTTCTATAGGTTTGCTGTAGTGTTCCCATTACCACAGTATTCTTCAGCTACTTTGTTAGCCACATATAAGTTCAGCTGTAGATGGGGACTTAAATGGTAATATATACATATGTGGTTAACTTCTTCTGCAGTTCTTTGGGAAATAATTAAGACATCATAAATGTAAGCCAGCAAAGGGAGCACATTTCAAGTTCCTCCTAACTCCCATCTGTATTAGTACATAGAAATTAGGAAACTTTGATCTAAAATAAAGTTTGATACAAGATGTTTTAAAGAAGGAGCAGAATGTGATTAGATTGCCCATGAACCTAGAAGGGAGACAGAATTAAAATAATTGAAAAAGCAACTTGAAAGCAAGTCAGTTGTAAACTCTAAACTAGAGCTGCCTGACTAGGACCACATGCCTTCTGGGCCACACCAGAAGGAGTCTCAGGCCCAACAGGCCACACCAGGGCAAGCCACAGATGGCCATCCCATGCCACTGTACCATGTGCCTGTTTCCCTGCCCCGCCCTCTCTGCTTCACCATGTGCCTGCAACTCCCTCCCCCACAGCACCACTTGCCCATGTGGGCTCCCCACCACTGCATCTTATACCTATGACCCCCCTCTTCCCTGGCAGCTCCCCTACCCTGCTGCTGTGTGTGCCCCAGGCTCATCCCTTTGGGTGGGAGCCAGAAGCAGCAGCTGGAGGAGAGAGAGGGAGCCAGAGCATGGGGAGAGCAGTGGCTGAGCATGAGTCTACTCTAGGGGCTGCAGACGGGCTGAGAGACAGGAATTCCAAGACAGAATTTAGATAAGAATTTTCTTTTTGGCCAGCTGCACCCTCAAGTGTTTTGATTTCAAGGTGGTTTAGTAAATTACTTTAACTCTGTTGAATAATCAGGATTTATGCTAAGAGGAAAGTATTATAAAAATGAGGTAACAGTGTAAATGTATTTATATAATATGAGTAGGAAT